CATAGTTTTTTAAACCATGTGAAGGTAAAACAAAGCTTTTATAAGATAGATAAATGTCTTCACGGTCTTGGGTAATTTGTATTTTCACACAATGGAATACTATACAGCAATGAGGATGGACAAACTACAAAACATGCAACAATATGAATGAATGTTGCATAATTTTGAGTGAAAGCCACCAGATACAAGAGTACACAACGTATGATTCCATTGCTATAAAGCACAACAGCTGGCAAAATGTAACCTGTCAGCAGCCAGTGGTCTCCCGGACTAGAAGCGGGCACAAGGGTAGCAAGGTGCTGGTAATACTATGTTTGAACTGTGTTCTGGTTACACAGGCAGGTTCCCTTTTTGAAAATTTACTGAGTTTTACATTCATGGTTTGCATTTTTCTTTATGTATGTTTTACTTCAATAAAAACTTTATTTTTTAAAAAATGAAGAAATAGAAACTCCTGCCTAAATAGACTCATCTTGGCTAAAACAAATTAAGCCAATATTTAAAAATCCATCCACCAAGAACAGAAATTCTAGGACCAGAAATTTTTAAAAAATTCTACCAGACTTTCAAGAAACAACTTATTTTTATCCTATATGGACTGTACCAGAGAACAGAAAAGAATGGCCAATTCATTTTATGGAGGCTAGAAATAGGCTGATCCCCAAAACAAAAACAGGAAAGGACAGCATGAGAAAGCAAGTTACAGGTTAGTCTCTCAATTGTGAGAACAGATGTAAAAAATGTAAATACATTTTTAGAAAAAAAAACTCAAGTAGGAAATCAATGCTGTTTGCTATATTAATAGATTAAAGGAGGGATTTAGGTCAATTGTCTTCAAAATGTGATCTGGGAGAACACAAACACACATACACACACACACACACATGTACATGTAAACAAAGTTCCACTTGTTACCACATGACAATGCATAATACAAAACTTTATGAGAGCAAAATATTGGAAACAATCTAACTGCCCAGCAACAGGAGAAATTATAAATTTAAAGATACAGTGAATTACTGAAGGCAGGTAAAATGAATGCACTAAAGCTAATGTATCAACAGGGACTAATATAAAAATAACACTGAGAAAAAAGTTACAGAAAGATGTGTACAGCTAATGATACCAAATATATAAAATATGTAAAACATACTGTATCACAAGTATAGATACATACATGTGTGATAAAAATATGAAAGAATGCATAGGAATAATACTTTGCAAATTCAGGATTGTGGTTACAATAGAGAATGGAGGGGAGTGGGGCTGTTAAAGATACACAGGGCTTGATTTTATCTACAATATTTTATTCTTAACACCAGTGTGCATACTTAGTATATTGTTTTCTGTGCCTGAAATATTTCATAATTTTAAAACAGTCTTTCTAAAAGCCAATCATGTGAAGAGGGTCGAAGGATGTAAGTATTATTGGTGCATTATTGCTGTTTTCAAATATGTGAAGGGCCATCATGTATAAGAAAGAGTAATGTGTTCTGTTCAGCTAACATATGTACAAAATTTGTTAACTATAAAGCCACATACATATTACTATTACTACTTCAGAGGACAGAATTAGGACAAATGGAAGAAACTGTGAGGAGGAAGGTAGACGGAGGCCCAACAGAGAGACATGTTAGCAGTCAGAGGCAGCGTAACTCAGTAGTGAGAGCAGGACTGTTTGGGGCCAGCCCGCCTGGCTTCAGATCCTGGCGCTGCCCTCTGAAGGCGGTGTGATTGGAGCAGATGCTTGAACCTCTGTTCCTGTTTCACATTCTGTAAAATGGGAATAATTATAGTGCCTATACTTCACAGGGCTACATAAGGATTAAAAGATTATTTGTGAAGTGCCTAGAACACAGCAAGCACTACATGCTTGTAAAACAAACCAGACATCTGTCAGATGAAGAGCCTTCCTTGTAAAGCAGAAAGCTCTTCAAGGGCTCACTCAGAGGCTGGATAAATCTCTCTGAGGATGCTGTAGAAGTAATCCTTTCTGGTCTAGGTAAGCACTTCTCAAACTTCAATATGCATTCGAATCACACAGGGAGCTTGCTAAAATGCATGTTTCTGCTCAGCATGCTTGAGGTGGGGCCTAAGGTTCCTGACTTCTAACAGGCGTCTCCTGGGGACGAACCTGGAGCAGCGGAGCTCTGGGTGGCCTTTCCCCATGACCATACATCATAGTTACTAAGATGCTTAGTCTTTACTTCTGATCAACCATCAATTTGAAGTAATTTCTAGATAAAACTCATCATTCAAAACCAAGTTTTAGCTGTCAATTAACTAATAATTTAAACACTAAAAGGATTAAGAATTTATAGGAAGCTTGGGTGACTCTCTTTATACAAATGTGTATCTTTTCATATGGTAGATATAATTACCATCAAACTTTAGAAAAAAATAAATTCTGCTTTTGGATTTTCTTAAAGCAGAAAAACACTTCTAATGAAAACCAGAAGCAGTAAAATAGAGGGCGGGGGAGGGGCAGTTCCTATATCATTTTGTAATTTAGAGTCTGTTATGAGCGAGAAGAGGATGTCACTTTAGATTTCCAAATAGGTGAGTGAGAGAAGGAAAATCATATTTAAGGGTAGGATAAATCAGAAAGAAGGAGAATGTCAAGCTTGAAGTGAAAAGGAAAAAAATAAAGAAGGATCTTTTTTTTTAAAGATTTTTTTAAGTATGGTTCTGAGAGATGTTAAAGAGAAAGACCAGTTGGGTCAACATCTGATATGAATTCAATGATGAGCTGAATAAGCAAATTAGATTTCAGTACACGGGATGACTCTGGGGACTCCTCCTAGGCTCTGGTCGGGTCCCCGCGCATCTGACTCAGACACAACTGGGCCTCCAGATTCCACTGCATCTGAGTGTTCTGAAGCAGACCTTCAACACCGTCATCCAGGCCAGAAACCCAGAGAATGGCCTGGCGCTTGGGGTGGTGGATGTTGTGGGAAGCTCTGGATGATTTGTTCTGAATTAGACTCCTTACATTTTCTTTCCTTGAGGGAATCCTCCATGATGACAGCTGATTTAGAGCCAAAGGGAATCCCCAGAGTTCCCTTAGGACTGAGGTACACAGGCAGTGAGTCTGTGACTACTGTGTACCTAGCGTTTGCTGGCTTTGGCCATGGAGGGGCTCATTCTTATTCAACATGAAGCTGTTGGTACCAAGTTCTGCTGCCCCCAGAGTACAGCTCCCAAGTGTCCCCAGGTCTGAAATAGCCATGGAGTGAGGGACAGGGAGGAGAGGCAGTGAAGAGGACGTTGTATTCTTTCACTGCTCTACTGTTCAAGGTCAAAGCAGGGAGTTTCCAGGCTCTATATTTTGTTTTATAAAGGGGAGTATAGGAGAAGTCAGGAAAATAGAAGCAGTGGTCATTCAAGCAAATAATTCTACAGTTTTCTTTACACTTGAGTTATTTTAAATAGTTTCAGTTATTTTACTCACCACCACTGCACAGAGGTTATATTTAGGATGTTTCCGAAAAATTGGACAAATGTAAGGAGTAAGGTCCAAGTTAGTGAGTGGGTAATGAATATCTGTCCTCAGTTTCCTTTTCATTGTACCCAGAACGTCAAACCTGGATAGATAAAACAAACGCGTGAAATGTAAAGTAAGCACGTGAACCACTCATGAATGAAGTCCACATGCCTTCATAAATTCCAAGTATAGTTAAAAGTAATTTCTTGGAAAGATTATTTGGTGCAGACCTATACATAAATTATTTTTTTCTTATCTACATATATTTGGAATCTCCACATCCACAAGCCTCGCCAAAACTGAGGCTGGAGTGGACCAAAAGCTTGAGTCAGGGAGTGAGGCAGGGTAAAGTCCACCCAGTGGGAGAAAAAGAAAGGGCTAAAGCCAGGCTGGGCGTCGGGGAGTGGAAGTCACATCGCTAACTTCCTGAGGCCTTCACTCCAGCTGATGCTGTTCACTCTGGCCCCCTGACTCAGCTTTTCCTTATCTTGATTTCAGCACACCTTGTCTTGGCAGTGTCCCATTTTCCAGCTCTGAGACTTTACTATATCTTTAATAAGGTACAATTTTGTGAAAATCTTGTCACATTCTCTATTTGTTATAAATCAGTCGTTCCCAAATCTGAATGTACATGAGAATCACCCCAGAGCTTTTTAAAAAAATGAATTATGTTCATTTTGGGAAAATGGCTGATTTAGGTCTGGGGCAAGAAAGTCACTGGGTGAGCCAGAAAGCAAGAAACCTTGTTTGCAAAAACTGATGGAATATCATATGACCAGGCAATCCCCTGTCGAGGTATCATCTCAAAAGAAATGAGGCCTTATATCCACACAGAAACCTACATGCAGGTTTATAGCAGCTGTATTCATGTCTGACCCAAACTGGAAACAACCCAAATGTTCATCAATTGGTGAGCAAACAAACAATTGTGGTACATTCATAAAAGGGAATACTACACAGCAATAAAAAGGAACCACTGCTACATGCCACAACATGGATTAATCTCATGCTAAGTGAGAGAAGCAAACATAAAAGGCCACATATGGTATAACATAGGACATTCTGGAAAAGGCAAAACTATAAAGATGGAAATCAGATCAGAAGTTTCTAGATGCTGAGGGTACGAGAAGGGATTGATTATAAAGGAGCATGAGAAAACATTTTGGGGTGATGGAGATAATCTCTCTGCTGGCAGTGATGGTTTTATCACATTTTTCAAAATTCACAGAATTGTATACCTAACAAGGACACATTTTATATATGTAACTATACTTTATTAACCCTAAATTAACGAATGGGGTCACAGGTGCTGGCTTTAAGGGATCCCATGGCCAACTTTGAACAATTTGAACATCAAGAAGAATGATAGTCGTCACAAATATTAAATCCATTACGTTTAAAAATATCTTGAGTCCAGAGTGATACTTGTTACAAAGGGGAAAACCATACTGTTAAATGGTGAGATCTTACAGTCACTACCTTAACTAAGGGATCAAATTTAGCATCACCAATAGTGGGACAAAATTTTATGATTTGTCTCCTGATGTAATGTGATGACCTATGGCAGATTCTTGCAAAAAAAAAAAAAGTTTAGCCTGAACCTAACCATGAGGGAACAATTAGACAAATCAAGGATGGGGGACATAATCTAACAATGGACTCCATGGACTCCCTCAAAGGTGCAGTATGAGGGAAAAAAAATGTTTAAATATTAAAAATGGGGAAGGATTGTTCTAGATTAAAAGGGACTACAGAGACAGCCAAATGCAATGCATAACCCTTGACTGGATGGACTGGATGCTAGATTGGAAAAAAGTGATGGAAGACATTTTTGGGATAGGGGAATTAAGATATGGACTGTATCCTGGGTTAAATTTCTTGGGCATATAATGGTGTTGTGATTGTGAAGGAAAGAATGTCCTTATTCTCAGGTGATACATGCTGAAGTATTTAAGCATGAAACACCATGGTGTTTGCATTTCATTTTGGTGGTTCAGCTAATCAGATGGAATGGATGGAGGCAGAGAGAGAGAGAGAGACGGAAAGAACTAAAGGAAATGTGGCAGAGTGGCACCAGCTAATGAAGATTCTAGGGTCTGTGGGTATTCATTATATATCTTTTCAAATTTTCTGTAGATTTGAAACTTTTAAAAATAAAAACTGAGGGGGTGGAATTTAAAAATTAAAACAGTGATGCTTAGATTCCACCTCAGACCTGTGGGATCAGAATCCACAAGGGTGGAGCCAGGGAATTTATTTTTTAAAAGCACTCAAAGTGAGTGCCAAATGTCAATCAGCAGTTGAATAAACAAAATATGATGTACATACCTGTGATGGAGTGTTTTTCAGCCATAAAAAGGAATGAACTGTCGGTACATGTCACAAGGATGAAACTTGGAAACATTATGCTAAGTGAAACAGGCCAGCAAAAAGGACAAACACTGCGATTACACTTACACGCAGTGCCAGAATAGGCAAATTTATAGACAGAGGAAGTAGACTGGAGGTGACCAGAGGCCAGGGGAAAGAGGACAGGGGAATTGCTGCTTCACAGTTCCAGAGTTTCTCTTGGGGGTGATGAAAAAGTTTTGGAAATAGTGCTGATCGCTGCATAACACTGTAAATGTAATTAATGTCACTGAAGTTGTACACTTAAAATGATTAAAATGGCAAATTTTGTTATATACATTTTTACCACAGATTTTTAAAAAATTAATGTAATATATGCAACAGCATTAAATTGTACACTTAAATGGGTGAACTTCATAGTATGTGAATTATATCATGATATAGCCGTTCAAAACAATCTGCTCACAAAATGCCAAAATCCATACCTTTTTAAGTGAAAGACAATTATTTTTGGTGCTTTAGAAATACTGGCCCTCACAGCTGTTTCTTGCTTGGTTTCGCAAAGGGAACAGTGGATTTGGTTGTTCCAGGTCAGTGTGTCTTGTTGGAAAAACACTGGAGACAGTCCTGTTGAGGAAAAAAGCATCTGGTGACCAAACTGGACCACCTGCAGCCTGGGCTCCCTGTACACTAGGACCCTGAGGAGGTGTGGGCATGCAGTCCTTGCGCTCTTCTCGAAGTCACCAAGTCCAGGATACCAGCGCCACAAGCTGCGGCCGGGGTAGAGTCCATGTGGCGAGGAGGTGCTGCTTTCTCACAGAGGAACCAAACTGGCCCAGCGATCCATCTCACCTCTAATCTCCGAATCAGCATTTTAACATTTCCAGTTTGTTTCACAATAACACTGACTATACGATTTCCACTAACAGAGCCAGGCAGCTGCTTTAAGTGATTCATCTCATCACAAAAGTGATCTGGTGATTGAAAAATGACCATATCCTAGTATTCTGGGGTGGCCCAAACCAAAGACAGCAGAACAGAGAGAATCTGATCTCACGCCCGCAGGAGACGCCCTCAGCCAGCCAGGCCCTGGCCCTGCAGACGCCTAGCCTAGGGAGGAAGGCGAGCACAGGTTCGGTTGGCAGCGGGCTTGCCAGCACCTCCCTTACAGGCTTTGGAATTTGTTTCCAGCAGCCTCTCGCAGATTGATCTGAGAACAAAATCCAGTTCCATATAAGTCACAGGATTCTACTCTCCAATTCTGGTCTGTGAAAACTTTTAGCAATAGATGTGCTTCCCTAATTTAGGAAGAAAAATATAAATATGTGCTTTTCTGCAAGGAAACTTATCACTCCCTGCCACCTAACTGTTCCCTGCCTTTTACTGCTACCACCTGCCCCCTGTTTAAAGACTACCTTTTGTATTACGGTGAAGAAAATTCAAGAGGTAAACTAAGGCACTATTCCATTCTATCTTCCCCAAATGTCCTTCAGCTTTTGGCCAAAATAAAAGAGCTCAAGACTAAGAGTCAGAATCATTTCTATCTAGTTGCCAATCTGGACTTACAGACCTCTGGGGTGAGGAAGCGCCGTAAGATTTTTGTAAGTATAAATTCCCTACATGCACCAAGCCATTTCAGTAGACTGAATAAACCCCACCTACCTTTTCAGTTTTACAGTGAGACTGTTTTATTGAGCACATTTACAAATACAAGTGAATTCACAGTAACTTGTGGCTGTATGTCACTATTCTACCAAATGTTGTCATCATGGGCTTCCAATTTTTCTAAGGTTATGAAGCAGCCTCCTTTGTACTAGAAAATGTAGGGAACAGCCCTGAGAAAATGCAGGCTGGGGTAGAGAAAGGCAAAAGGAGTCTCCAGGAGCAAGAACCCCTACCTGCAGAGAGCATTCGTATCTGGATGGAATGGGGAGGGAGAGGACGGTGAAGACCTCATTCTTGTAGGTGCAGTTCTCACACTTTAAACATACGATGCTGTAATTCAGCTGCCCTTCAAACAGCCGGGTGATGATGGAGGACTCACTGGCAATCATCTTCCTGCAGCATCTTGGAAGAGATTTTTTCTCATACGATCTTCTTCGGTGGTACTGAATCAAGGAACAAGTTCACCCCAAATCAACTATTGGTTATCAAATTTTTTTTTAAATAGAATGACTTGATTTTGGTTTCAGAAAATAAACAGAATCAGACCTTCTTAAGAGTATATACTATGTATGCTTTCTGACAATTCAGCTATCTCCTTCCTTAAGTGAAGCTGACGAATGATGACACCCTAACCCTGGTAAAACACATGTCCACGACCCCATAGGCTGACAGCCTATGATAATGTGATATAGGGTCCTGGTGGCAGTTTTTCCTGGGAAGAGGGTAAGTAAGCCGTCAAACTAGCTTTCAGTCATACAATCCAATCTAGATGTAAAATAAAGGAACTGGATCTCTCTTCTAGTCCCCTAGGTTATGTTCCCTTGCCTCTTTGAGGGGGCGGGGGTAAATAGGTTTATTATTTTTTTAGATGAGGGACTGGTGATCGAGCCCAGGACCTCGTGCATGCTAAGCATGCGCTCTACCGCTTGAGCTATACTCTCCCCTCACTTCTTTTATTGTTAGAAAACATTTTTTTTTTAAGAGTAAACCATAAACTCCTAAGGCAGCCTGACTTCATGAGCGTTGCAGCCTGATGTGAACTCAGTGACGCTCAGGAACAGCGTGCTGGGGAGCACACCCTGACTGTGCAGGGATCCTACAGCCTCAGCAGAGCATACACGCTGAAGGCACAGCAGCCCCGCAGCAGCTCTGCTCTGGAGCTGCGCGCATAGCTCCACTTCGGTTGCTGCTTTAGTCATGCTCCGCTGCCCAGGCCTTCCACCCGACAGTGGTTTAAGGCCCCCCTCACTCCAAGTCTGGCCTTGGGAACTAGAATGCTATTTATTTCAGACTGACTGCAGATGAGGACCTAAGTGATTTTACTGACCACCACCCTCCCCTCTGGCTAAAAACAGTGCTGCCATAAATACCTTATTAATAGTGAAAGTGCAAAATGGAGCTGAGGCTTGCAGGTAAGAATGATTACGGTGATTGTGATCTTTCATAGTAAGTGTCTTCGGGATGTTAGCTATGAGGTAAGCTACCAGCAGCACAAAGGACACTGCAGAGAGTCCAGGCCATGTATTTGGAGAGTGTGGATCTCAGAGGCTGAAGGCAGTGAGTCTTGTTAATAAGGGCAACCCCCTTAGTCACTGGCAACTTCACGTTTTATTAAATGTGTGTCTAAATCCAGTGAAGAACTGAGGCACATTTAGTATGAAGATGAAACTCTTCAGTATAACGATCTGTCCTTTCACCTAATACCAAGCTTGGTATTTCCTCGGGTTTGTAGCTACCAAGAACATCTATTTGAAGTTGTAAAAGTTTGATATGTTACACCTCGTGAGGAATATATTTTTTATTAAAAAATATAATTTTCACTTAAAAAAATAGTCCATGCAGATGTTACTGCAAAGGCAACTAGATCAGTGGTTCCCACACCAACTGGAAACCCCAAGTGAGTTTTCCCAGAAGACAACCCAGACATTCTAATTCAGTATGGAGCAAGGGCTTTAGAATCTGTGTGTGTGATTCTGACGACCAGCTGAACTGGGTAAATACAGACCCATTCAAATACTAATTTGAATGTTCCCTGGAGTGACCCCAGCACCTGTGCTCAGCAAAGAGTAGGCAACATTGACTGAACAAATGAAGGAATGAAAAACGAAAGTTGCTGATGGAGCTGAAGGTCTATCCTATTTCAAGGCCACTAATTCTACTTACCTTTTTAAGAGCTTCATGAAGTTCATTCAGGACGTAAATCAAGAATTCCTGAGCATCTTGCTGAGTCTTTTTCGTAAGTGCTGGGTAGAGACTGCCAAGAGCTGACCGAAGTATTTCTGGTGAGACACAGTCTGAGTCTCCAAGCCACATGTCTGTCATCACATAGGCAAAAGCAGTAGCAACCTTACTGCAATCCCTTGGAAGAAGGAAGGGGAATGTTTCCGGCTGATTTAATGAAAAGAGGGCACCTACAAACTCCCACATGTGGCATCCAGACCCCGAATGAAGCTTCATTCATTTCTTGCTCACCCTTCCCATTTTACCCACCTGAGAAATGGGATCTGGGGCACTGCAGCCTCCACTAACAAGTTTAGCCCTTAATAGGGACTCCAGAGGGTCCCTTCCCTAACCCCACCTTGGGGAGCAGAGGGTGGGAGTTGAGCCATAGGGAAAGAAAATGGTCTTACTTTTGAAGAGCGGTAATGTACTTTCCAGAGAGAAAGTATTCCACCAGCGGTGAGATGCTGCAGAGACACTGTAAGATGGCGTTCATGTAGCATGTGTTGCCCAAGTTCCGCAGGCCAGTCACGCCCTGGAAATGGGGCTGGTTCTCATCAGCCTCGTTAGCTGGGAAGGGTTCATAGTGATCTGTGCACTCTGCACTGTGTTGGTGCCGTGTGAAAAGAAAGGAAAGCACTTTGAGGGAACAAAACATGTACAAATGAAGTCATGCCCTCTTGACTTCATGACACAAAGGAGAGTTCTTCCTAAGGCTTCCTAAGGCTTACCAAATACATTCCCCATCAAGGACGGGAGTATTCGGACTTGGGGTCCACAATTGCGTTACTTTGTCCAGAACTCTTTGAACAATGCCTGTGGCCAAATAAGCAGAGATAAAAAGGTTCTTCTTAAAAACCAAAGCAAGAGGACAGAAAATATTGACCTTTCAGAGTCCTAGAACTGCTTTGCTAAAAACGTGGGCTTCTCTTCTAAATATCAAAGTATTTCCTTTTTTTTTGCTGGGGAAGCAATTTAACCATCGTTATTAGTAATAATAATAACAATATATAGTAGTTAACAACAATAGTTATCATGTATTGACCTGGCACTGCATTAAGTACTTAATATAAACTTTCCAATTCTTTCAACAATTCTATGGGGTAGGTACAATTATTTTTAAATCCTGTTTTACAGATGGGATATCATGTGTAAATGGTTTAGTCTTTTGCCCACAGTAATGTACTAAGGGATGTGCAGCGTCACGTAGGTGGAAGGGATATTTACCTACCTACCTATGTCTCATCTGTCTGTCAAGAGTTATTTGGATTTATAGCAAGATATTTTTGTAGATATAAACAAGATTATTCTAGAACTTATTTGAAGAGGTAATTTGCTGGGCAGTTACCATGTGCCAAGCACTGTGCTAGGTAATGTGTAAGTGCATGCTATTAAGTGCTCCCCTTGGTACTATCAGTCAAAAAAAAAAAAAAGACAAAAATAGGGAAAGGGATAGAGTTAGCGGTTGAGTACATGCTTAGTATGCATGAGGTCCTGGGTTCAATCCCCAGTACCTCCATTAAAAAAAAAGTTATTTGGATTTATATATCATATGTTAGAAGTGTGTATGTGTGCGCATACACATACATATATAGGCATATATATACCTGCCAGCATTATATACACACATATTAAGAGCACCTTTATGTACATATAAAGACACACACATATGCAGAGGGAAAACGCATACACTTTGTAAAAAAAAATAGACCTCAGTTTAAATTCTGACTCTGTGACTTACTATTTATACGATCTGAGACTCGTATGTCCGTTTCTTACAGCCTGCTTTGTAGGGTTGTTGTGATGATTAGATTAGATGATGCAAGGCATTTGGCACAGATTACAGTTAATAAACGGTAACCTAAGAAAAGTTTTTTTAAAGGAATGATGGGTCTAGGATAGCCTTAATAGTAGCTACAGAATCAGAGCCTCCATGTGAATCCACCAGACGTGCACAGAGGGGAGAGCCCTCCTCTCCCCACAGAGCTTCCTTCTGTAATTTGGCCATTGCACCATCGTCCTTTTGGTTTTTCTATCCACATACAGTATCTAAAATTGGGCCTCCGGGAGACAGCGACCTCACCTCAGTAACTCTACTTACAATGCTGCCAGTTTGAAAAGTGCTCTCTGTTGCTTAGGGTGGACAATTTCCCTTTTATTTACTGATAAATAAAACGGACTGTCAATCTTTGGGAATACTTATTGACTAGATATTAAATAACATCTTCCTTTCCTTTTGGGGGACTTCCAATGGGTCAAACCTGGGGGAACCATTTGAAATGCAGCATGCACCTCCTGACTCCTTTGAGCATGGCTTCCCTTGGCCACCCCAACAAAGCTTATCTACAAAGTACAGTAGACAGAGGCTCACAGGACATAGTAGATACCGAAGTCATCTGCAGGGAGAGGCTGCCGTGAAGCCATTTCAGTGAAACCACGCTGGTCTTTCACTTCTATTCAGGAGCTACATCTAATCCTTTTAACTTCATTTCTCCAAGCCTGTTACTTTGGCTCTTTTTGTTTACAGTAAGAAACTTATATGTCCCTCCCTACTTTCAGTAGCTGCAAACTGACTTCATCTGCACATAGGGTACATTCCACCATGGATTTCCCATATGTCATAATCCTTTCCATTACTCTTCAAGATTCTAGCATGTTGCCATGAGATATTGTTACTTGGTTGCTTTAAAACTTTAAAAGATCAGATTTCAGAGAACTAACTGAACCTGTAACCTCTCTTCCTCCATCTTTCCAAGCTTCTCTTGTGTATATTACAGACACACACACAGAAGATTTGCCTCCACGTGAGTAGATACTATGGCAACCCTGCCCTCTTAGGGCACTCATCCACCCTCCCAGTGACTGCACCACTCCTAGGGCTTCAAAGGACTGTCTCTCACCCTGGATGGGGAGGCAGCTGGATTTTGCTCCTTCCCTAAATGCACAGCATTGTGATAGACTGGATTATTTCCCTTCATTGTGTTCAATCATAGGGCCAAAGAGGTATACACACACACACACATGCTACACAGGGCAAATAAAAATAAAGGATTCATCATAGAATAATTTACATGCTGAGAAGTAGCAGAGTACACATGATCTCCTGAGCTCTCACTGTCTTCATAGAGAACTGTTCTTAAGAAAGCACTTCAGTAGAGAGGGAACCATCCACTCCCCCAGAAGAACCCCCCACTCAATGCTCTGTTTAGATGAAAAGGGGTCAAAGAATATTTGCAATCATAAGGCAGTGAAAGCAACATAGAGGAAGTGGCCTTGTTAGAAAGGGGAGCCTCCTCTGGAGCTCCAAAGCTGGTACCAACCTGTTCTTCCTCTGAGCTAACTCAGAATCTGTACAGAAAAGACAGAGAAAGAATCGTTAGGGCCAATCAAACCTGACTTTTCTCAACGCTACATCAAGTAAAATGAATGAGGTAACAAAAGGAAAAAACTCCTCAAAAACATCAATGCCAGGAAAGATAAAGAAGGCTGAGAACTTTGGAGATGAAAAAGAAACTTGAGAAACAAGACAATTAAATATTTAATCCTGGGTGGGATCCTGGATTAGGGGGAAAAAAATTACTATAAAAAATTACTATTAAAATTACTATATTATTATTGGGACAACCAATAAAATCTGAATATGGATTATACATGAATAGTTTTGTATTGATGTGGATTCTTCTGAATTTTATAAAATTGTGTTTTATTTATGAAAGAGGTTGTCCTTGTTCTTAGGAAATACACACTGAAGGAAAGGAGGAACGGGGGAGTGATACGGAAAATACGAAGCAAGAACAGCCAAATCTCTGCAACTGGTGAATCTGGGTGAAGGTCTTCTGGGGTTCTTTGGATTCATCTCACAACTCTTCTATACGTTTGAAATTACCTCAAACTAAAAAGTTCAAAAAATAAAAATGTAGTAGCTATACTTGTAATATAGATTTATCTCCAAGATATATTACTGGTAAGTCAAAAAAGCAAGGTGCTGAAGAGTTTGCCTATAGGGTGTACCCAATTCATGTCCAAATGTGGACCCATGAATTTGTTTTATTTAGTGACTTACAACCTATTATTATGATGATTATTGATTAATTGATTGATGTACAAATCATCTCAAGATTAGCCAGCAGGGGGCCCTTCAAGATGTTTTCTGTACCCATTCGACAGGTCTCCATCGTTCTTTGAGCACTTCCTCACTTTTTGCCATAGCAACATCTTCCAGACTTACCTTGTGTTGTCCCTGTCCCACTCCTGAGGTCAGCCATTTCTCAAAGAGCCCTGGTTCCTGTTAGAGGAGAACGGTATTTAGAAACCAAGACGTGGGAGCTAGGGGTACTCATGCTATTACAGTATCACAGCCTCCCATTATCCTCAACACGTTTCCTGCTTTGATCAGCCCCCCTGCACGTAAGTTATCTCCTGTTGCTGCCCCCTGCCTCCCACCCTGTATCACTACACACAGATACCATCCTTACCCCGCTTCTCTGACACCCCATGTCAAGTCACTGCTGCCTGCAGCAGACTGAGGCCTAACTAGATTGGTCTCAGCTACGGCTTTGAGGCTAACTTGCGAATGAACAAAGGAAGAAAAGAGGAAAGGAATCAGGCTCTCCCAGTTATTTTCTGCTTCTGTCTTTGATGGATTTTTTTTTTTTTTGGTCTCTTATCTCAGATGGCTTTAAGTTCACAAACTGCAATGGAAACCTAAGTAATGATGACTCTTTAGCCCAAGAATGAATGTGCAAGTGTGGGGGTGGGGTGAGGGTGTCAGCATTTGTAGGAATGTCTTTGTGGATTTTCAGAGGGGTGGGAAACAGGGCTGTAGAGACATGTGAGTAGAATCCTGACATACTGGGACAGACTGCATGTGTTCTGACAGAGGCCAGTAATGCCCACAGAGGCCACACTTTGTCATGGGAGGGGCCAAAAAACCACAGATCTGTCCTGTAAATGTCTGTTGCCTCCCCATCCCAAGGGCAAGTACCTCTGTCCATTCAAAATGAATGTCCATACTCACTCACATGAGGGACGGTTTAGACACCTGTGCACAGCATCTGTTCTCACCACGCAGCCCAGAAGAGGACAGGGATGGCCACAGCCAGACCCAGGACACAGTGTGGACACAGCTGGACCTTGTAAGTGTGTGCATAGCCCTGCTGAGTCCTTACTGGTCTGGGTGGTCTCCCTTCCCAGACTGAGAGCTACTGGCACATCAAAACATGAGCAAGGGACTGAAGAGTGAATGGATTGGTTCCTTTTTTTTTTTTTAAACCTCCCCTCAGATTTTTCCTTTCTTCTCATTGTCCAGAAGTTGTACATTGTTTTTATATTCTTCTATGTCTCTTTTACATACTTCAACAAATATACAAGCAGCACCTGTTATCTTAATCGATTTGGATCCAAAGTCTGAATAGCAAGGGATACTGTACTATCCCAGCTGATTCGGCTTCTAAGCTCTGGATGGCTTGTAATGAGTTCACGTGAAAATTTAGTTTATTTAGTTCCTGAGATGACATAGTGAAAGTCAGGATAGCAAGGCTGACCCATACTTAAAATTGCTTTTCAATCAATGTCAAGAATTAAAATCTGTAACCAAATAGATGAGACCTTTAATATGCTTTACTACCACCTTCCCTGAATACTCTTTGCATATTTAAAAAATTTATTCTAGTTTACTTAAAAAGATTAAACCATGCATTAAGTTTTCCCAGCAAGTATTTAAATTTGCGTACTTCACCAATCTTTGCTCAGCTCTGTATCTTTTATTTCATGTCTTCCTATTAAAATCTTATCTTTCATTTTTTAATTAAAGCATAGTTGACTTGTATTTATTAGTTTCAGGTATATAACATAGTGATTCAGTATTTTTATAAACTCCATATAAAGTTATTATAAAATACTAGCTATATTCCTTGTTTTGTACATTACATCCTTTCATCTATTTTATACCTAGTAGTTTGCATCTCTTAGTTCCCTTCACCTATGTTGCCTCTTCCCCATCCCTCTCCCCTCTTGTAACCACTAGTTTGTTCTCTGTATCTGTGAGTCTGTTTCTGTTTTATTTGTTCGTTTAAATTTTTTAAATTCCACATATAAGTGAAAATATGCTGTGTTTGTCTTTCTGTCTGATTTATTTCACTAAGTATAATACCCTCCACGTCCATCCATGTTGTCGCAAATGGCAAAACCTCACTTTTTATGGTTGAGTAATATTCCATTATACACATACACCACATTTTCCTTATCCATTCATCCATTAATGGACACTTAGTTTGCTTCCACATCTTAGTTATTGTAAATAATGCTGCTATGAATACTGGGGTACACTTATCTTTTTGAATTAGTGCTTTTGTTCATAAAAATACCCAGAAGTGAAATTGCTGGATGGTATGGTAGTTCTATTTTTTTTTAATATTTATTTTTTATTGAAGTGTAGTTGATTTACAATGTTAGTTTCAGGTGTACAGAAAAGTGATTCAGCCATATACAATTTTTTTTCAGATTCTTTTCTGTTCTAGCTCACTACAAGAAACCGAATACAGTTCCCCCTCCTACACAGTAGGTCCTTGTTGTTTATCCATTCGATATACAGTAATGTGTATCTGCCAATCCCAAACTTCCAATTTATCCCTCCTCCTCTCTCCCTTTTGGTAACCATAGTTTGTTGTCTATGCCCATGCATCTATTTATGGTTTGTAAATAAAATTCGTATCTTTCTTTTAAGATTCCACATATAAGTGAAAACATACTGTTTGTCTTTCTCTGTCTGATTTACTTCGCTTAATATGATAATCTGTAGATCCAGCCATGTTGCTTCAAATGGCATTATTTCGTTCTATTTTATGGATGAGTAATATTCCATTATACTATATACATATACCACATCCTCCTTATCCATTCATTTGATGATGAACATTTACGTTGTTTCCATGTCTTGGCTATTGTAAACAGTGCTGCTATGAACACTGGGGTTCATGTGAATTTTGTTCATAAAATACCCAGGAGTGAAATTGCTAGATCATATTGGGGTTTTGATTTGTATTTCCCTGATGATATCTTTCCATGTGCCTGCTGGTCATCTGTATGCCTTCTATTCAGATCCTCTACCCACTTTTAAGTTGGGTTGCTTGCTTTTGTGATATTAAGAGTTCTTTATATATTTTGAATATTAACCCCTATCAGCTGTATTGTTTACAAATATTTTCTCCCATTCAGTAGGCTGCCCTTTTGTTGACGATATCCTACACTGTGCAAAAGCTTTTAAATTTGACTTGGTCCCATTTGTTTATTTTTTTTGTCCCCCTTCAAAAATATATTGCTAAGACCAATGTCAAAGAGTGTACTGGATATGTTCTCTTCTAGTTTTATGGTTTCAAGGTCTTTATGCATTTAGGTCTTTATGCATTTTGAGTTTATTTTTGTCTATGATGTGAGAAAATGTTCTAATTTCATTCTTTACGTGTAGCTGTCCAGTGTTCCCAGCACCACTTATTGAAGAGACTGTCTTTTCCTGTTGTATATTCCTACCTCCTTTGTCATAGA